GTCATCAAAGTGTCTTCCTTTCAATATTTCCTTAATCTTCGGGTAAAGAAAAAAGTCATTGGGGGCCAGATCAGGTGAATAGGGAGGGTGTTCCAATACAGTTATTTGTTGACTGGCTAAAAACTCCCTCACAGACATTGCCGTGTGAGTTGGTACTTTGTCATGATGCAAGAGCCATGAATTTTTGGCGAAAATTTCAGGTTATCTAACTTTTTCACGCAGCTTTTTCATCACTTCCAAATAGTAAACATGTTTAACTGTTTGTCCAGTTTGTACAAATTCATAATGAATAATTCCTCCGATATCAAAAAAGGTTAACAACATCATTGCAACAAGTTTGCAAACTTAGTTGTCAGACCTCCTATGCATGATTAATTCCTCATTTTCAGCAAGGAGAGCAGGATGGGCAACTCATATAGACAAAAAGATGGAGCTTCTGAGAGGGTCCATAACTTGCCTAAAGTGACCCAGCTGGTAAGGGGCAGAGCCAAGGCATGCACCCACGCCTGTCTGATCCCAAGCCCTTTGATAGAACCATGATCTGTCTAACAGCAATTATGTCCTGTGAGTTGCAAATGTTTCGTAAACACAAGTCAGTATTTGGATGTTTTTGAGTTGTGACTCTCCAAAAAAGAAAGGACTCACCTTATTTTGACAAGCTGATCTCTCTAGGGATCTTTGGAAATATCCACACCCTAAACAGGTCCACTTTGCTAGGCAATCAGTTGGGATCCTTCCCAACTCAGTGGGGATGGGACTGGAGTGCAAGAGGTAGGGTAGGGGCCTCCTAGCTCAAGGGTCCCCTCAGGCATCCTGATGACTAACCCTCAAGCCAAGAGGACCCTCAGACAACTCTACCCTATAGAAACAGAACCCAAGCCACCTGGAGATTTGTCCTGTCATCCATTGCCCTTGCAACAGTCATCAGGGTGACCAGAGTGAGAACGCCAGTCTGAAGACACAAGCAGCAACATAGCTGGAGGAAGTGGTGGGTTAGGCAGTGGTGCTACACAGAGAAGGAAAGAGAACCAACATGTACTAAGGGGGCTTTGTTCAGGCAGGCCCCAGAGTCATGGTTTAAGCCATGCCTGCATCACTTACTAGCTCTGGTTCCTTTGGCAAGTCATGGAACCTGCCCGTGCCCTCAGTTTCCTCATCTGTTAATCAGGCAGAATATTTGTTCACACCTCCTAAATTTTGAGATCATCTCTGTGGGCTTGCAGCAAGGTGCTTACACCCAGCACATGCTCAGAACATACTGACCACATGGCACCACTAGCCACTGCTGCACTCAGGGCTCAATGACCCAGAGCACTGCTACTCCTCACATCACACTCATGCTTCACAAGGAAATCATCTATTATAGATGAAGGGTTAGTGCCCTTACTATATAAAGAACTTCCACAAATCAGTAAGAAAACGACAAGAACCTCAATAGCAGGAAGTAATTTCCACAAGACAAACTGCAAATGGCCAATAAGCATGAAGTCCAGGGTGACCGGAAATTAAAAGTAGAAGGTAACTTTAAAAGAGGATTTAACAAATTTTATCTGCATGTTGAAAATATAATCCTATTAGGGTAAAACAATATATATATTCCACCAAAACATTAACTGTAGTTATAGCTGAGTATGTGGTTAAGGATGGCATTTTCTTTTTAATTAAAAAATTTTCAATTACAGTTAACATTCAATATTATATTAGTTTCAGGTGTATAGCATAGTGATTAGACATTTATATAACTTATGAAGTGACCCCTCTGACTAGACTAGTACCCATCTGACAGTATACATAGTTATTACAATATTATCGACTATAATCCATATGCTGTACTTGACATCCCTGTGACTACTTTGTAACAACCAATTTTTACTTCTTAATCCCGTCCCCTTTTTCACCCATGCCCTCCAACCCCCCCTCCCATCTGGCAACCATCAGCTTGTTCTCTGTATCTATCAGTCTGTTTCTGTTTTATCTGTTTGTTTATTTTGTGTTTTAGAATTCTTTCCTTTATTGTGATTTTCTATGATTTCTAGATTTTCTCCACTAAGTATGCATATCTTTTATAATCTCTTTCTTTTCTTCTTTCTCCTCCCCTTGAGTCTCTCCTTCCCTCCTCCTTCCCCCTCCCTCTTCTTCTCTATTCTTCTTTCTCCTCCTTCCCCCCTCCTTCTCCCTCTCTTTCTCCTCCCCCCCTCCTTCTCCCTTTACTCCTCTCTTCCTCCCTCCCTCCCTCTCTCTCTCATTGTACCCACACTGTATACTCCCCCAGTGCCTACAGGACACTGATAACACTCAAGGCTCTTGACAGCCTGGTCGTGGCCCACTGGTCCACTTCCGTCTTCTGCCTCTTGCCTCATCTTATTTCTTCACTGAAAACAAAGTCCTCAGAGTTCCAGGTACACAGTGGGCTGCTTCACTTCTACACCTGCCTAAACACCACCTGCCTTTTCTGAGTGTGTCTGGGGCCTCACCTGCTCTGGGAAGGCTTCACTGGCCCCTACCCAGGGCCTTTTCCCTGCTGGGTCAATGCTGTCCCTTGGGGCTCCCAAAGGACACCCCAGCTCTTTGTCAGACCACCTGTCCTGCTACCCACATTCTTCTGCTCACTCTTACCTTCCCCACCAGCTCCTGAATGTTTCTGGACAGGGCCAACAATCTATGCATCTTTGTGTAATCTGGGCTTACAGTCCCTGCCACCTGCTGAGGTGCTTAGGAAAGACTTGGGGCATTGAAATGAACGTGATTTTTGGCATTGTTGAGAGATGAGTATATATTATTACACTCATCAGGCTGAGAGAGGTTAAGTAACTTGCTCAATATCACACAGGTAGATGGAAAGCTTAAATTTAAATACAGGTGATTTGGGGCAAGAGTGTCTAACATTAACCCTTAGGGTTAGGTTCAAAGGCTGGCTACACTGATGTAGAGTTAATAAGGAACAAAATGTCCTTCAGGGAGCAATGGAAGGGACAGAGGGGTGGCTAGAGTAATAAGAGTAGAAGCTAATGAATTATTGACACTTACATGTGCCAGGCATTGTTTTAAACACTTGACCTATCTCAGATCATTTAAAAAACCTTATAAGAAAGGGACAGTTATTAGTCCCGTTTTAGAACTGAAAAAACCTGAGTCATGGGCAAGTTCAGTCCCTTACCCAGATCACAGACTTGGGATTTGAACCCCATCAGTCCAGCTTGCAGCCTGTACTGGTAACCTGAGCTCTGTTGCTTGGTGGCAGGTGAGGAACACGGTTCCACTGCGACAAGAGCTGCAGGGACTGATGTATTTATTGTTCAGGAATGGGTGCCACCCCACAGAAGCCACCATCTTGGAGCAGGTTGGTACTGGTATTTTCTAGGACCAGAGCTGAAACCTCTTATTTTTGTGCCTTATTCATAAGATGAGGCTAGGCCCTAGCTAGGCTTACACCTCCTCATAGCTGGGTCACTGGGTCAGGAAGCAGGCACCTCTGAGGGCTGGCAAGAGGCTGGGTATGAAATAATTTAAGTGAATCAAGGGAGGGGGTGAGAAACTAAGCTGCCAGGGCCTGCTCTGTGCCAAGCACAAAACCCACCTTATCCCATCGAACCTTCACCTCTTCACTGTATACACAAGAAACCAATTCTCAGAGAGGTACAGTGACATGCACCACAGCACACAACCAGTAGCTGCCAGAGCTGGGACTTGTACCCACGGCTGTCAAATGGTTCCCAACAAGAGTTAGATTTGTTAGACAGTCCCAGGCTGGTCCAGAATAATCTCCCAGATTGTCTGTTCCACCTTTTGTCTCCCAAGCCCAGGGCTTAGTTCTGATGGGGGCTGGGGAGGCAGATAATAATAACAGCATTGGTCTGGCACATAGGAGGCGCCAACCATTGCCACTGTGAATAGGCCCATGCCCTGCCTCTGAAGGATGGTTTCCAGGTCCCTTTCAGGACTAACCTCCTGTGCCTCACTGTCACTTGTATTACCCCTATTCTGTGAAAACAGAGACAAACTGCACCTCCACCCTGGGGCTGCAGTGAGTGGCGGGGCTCACTAGGCATGCTCACCTCTTGTTGCAGCAGTGACCTTGTAGACCTTGCTTTCCTCAACTGCAAGGCTTTGGGGACTGACTTAATGGGTACAAGGTCAAATCTATTTGTGTCTATATGAACACAAATGCTTCGTACTCTCAGGGGAACAACATGCACCAGCACCCATTCTGGCCAGGGCTGGGTTTGGGCTTACACATATTACCTCATCTCAACTTTCTTGCAGCCCCACAGGGAAGATACTGGCATGACTTACCCATTTTGTAGATGAGTACCCTCAAGTCCACAATGCTTTAATGATTTCCTCAAGGTCACATCCATGCTGCATGATTCCTGAGAGGCTTGATTTAATAAGAATGGTGCAGAAAGGGATCCCAGGTGGTGAATAAAAGGTACCAGGGAGGATGGAGTAAGATCTGGTTGACCTGGAGCACACATGAGTATGCTCGGTGCAGGGATGGGGAGCAGGGCCTCTCTGTGGTAGGTGCTTCCCAGTACGTGGTTATGCGAGGCCAAGCTGCCCATATCTGAGGCCATGGATGTTACCTTGAGTTGCACAGCCAGTAACCAACGGGTGGCAGAGCTGAACCTAGGCTGTCTGGCTCCAATGTTGGGCTTGTTCCTGATGGACTGTCTCCTGATAAACGGCCTCCTTCTTGACAAGGGCTGCAGGGGACCCCGATCCACATTTTCTAGATTGGCATTCTGTGACCATGAGCAGTCTCCATGACAACCAGGATCTTCCCACCACCCCTGCCACCAAGCTGCACCTCCTTTCTGCACCACAAGGCCTGCAGAGGTAGCCCAGCCCAGGCGGGCAGACAGCTGAAGCTGAAGTCTGGTGGTGCTCTCTGGCAGGGCGGGGAGGGCTGTGCAAGTGACCTCTGTTCAGCTCCATTCAAGGTGTGGGGAGAGGGGAAAGGATCTGCCCAGGTGGGTGGGGTGGCCCCTACCTAAGCTTCTGGACCCTTCCTTAACCCCTGATAGTCTGAACGCTTCATGTCAGTACCCCACAGGCCTCAGTCCTGTGTACCGAAGGCTAGGCACCAAAGGGCCTTCTCAGTCCCCTCTGCTTCCCCAGCCACCGAACCCACTGTCTCCAGCTAGGGGTTAATGTCCCCTGTCTGGGCTCAGTGCCTGTAACTTCTATCAGGGCTGCCTGAGATGCCCTCCTCATCTGTCAAAAGCCAACACAACTGACCCCTATGACATGGATTCCCCCCACTCATGAGCTCCCCACTGCAGTCCCATCTCCACCCTGTGCTTGCTTAAAGCCTTGTGTATGGAGTGCGCTGTGTCTAGCACGTGTGACACCCTTTCAGGCCTGGCAGCAACCCAGGAGCAGGAACTCTGTCACCCTGTGTCATTTCGGTGTCCCGAATGGAGGCTCAGGGACTGGCATAAAGCTCTTGGTGAATAGTTAATGAAACAATGAATGAATGAGTCAATGACTAGAAGGAAGAGGAAAAGCAGGGGTGCAGGGGTGCAGGGGTGGGAGGACGGACAAGTGAGGAAGAGGGAGAATGAGAAGAAGGGGTCTGGGGTAGGGGCCCTCTACTTACCCAGCCTGGGCCGGAAGCTGCGGACTGTGTTGCCCCCTCCAGGCCGCGCACCCCTTCGACTGTATTTCTCATAAAGCCTGAGCATGTGGACAGCTACCATGTCCTGAGCGCCGTGGCCCAGAGCGGCGGCCGCGTCCCCCAGGAACAGCTGGGGGTCCTTGTCCCCCGCCAGGCTGTCGGTAGCTGCGGGCGGGGCGGACCGGGCCGGGGCCGTGTGACTGCTGCCCGCGACCCGGAGCAGCAGTAAAAGCAGCGGCAGCAGCGACAGCAGTTGGGACCCCGGTTCCGGGCAGGTTCGAGCGGGGCCACGGGCCATTGTGGGTGGCGGCGGCGAAGGGCTGGAGCCGGCACGGAGAAAGGAGAGCACAGGCGACCCGAGGTTGCGGACAGACCCTGCAGCTCGAGGGCACGCGAGCAGCCGGGACAGCCAGGGGTCGCGGGGCGCGAGGCAGAGCCGGGCAGCCAGCCAAGCGCGTGGTCCGTCCTCGCAGCGCGAGCCCCAGGCCAGCGGTCAAGTCCGTTCGGAGCTTTGAGAAGCGGAGCGGAGCCCGAGCCGGCGCGCTGCCTGAGCAGACTCGCGCCTCGAAACTTTGCAGCCCAAGGCGCGGCGGGCTCCGCGGGTTCGAGGGGCGGGGCGGGGCGGGGCGGGGCAGCCAGCAGCGCCCTCAGGGGGACCCGGCTGCGCGCCCCTGACCACTGGGGCTGCCGCCTACACTGCCGTGCCTGGCCCGCTGCGGGTGCGTGCGCCCGTATGTGGTGGCGCGCGCGCGCGCGCAGGGCTGTGCACCCGAATGTGAGGCCCGGAGTGTGGGGAGCGTGGGCGTGGGCGAGCGCGCTCCCCACACCCCTGCGGATAGCCGGAGACCCGCGACCCAGGCGGCTCCTATGTGTCGGCGCCGCAGCCTGCCTGGGGCTATGCGGGGGCTGGGCAGCCTTTGGAGGGGGGCCCGCCTGCTGGGTTGCCCCTGCAATGGCATGCGATGATTGTGTGGTTGCAAGATGACAGCTCCCCCGTGAGGACCCGAGAGGGGATGTGTATGCATCCAGTTGCCCTTGAGCCAGTGTGTGTCCAAAATGCAAGAGTGAGTGAGGGGCACATGGACCCCCCACTGGGCAGCCTTTGAAAAGAAAATCCCTAACCCCAAATCTCTACCAACCAGGGCAACTGGAACAAGATCTTGATTAAAGTTCAGAATTAGTTGATTAACTGATCCTGGATTTGGCGACAATGATCCCAGTTGTTGAAGACACACGTCAAAGGCCCCTGCTAATCTTTGGACAGGTAGTCATCAGGATGTTCTGAGAAAGGACATGGTTTCAAATGACTACAAAACGTTTCCAAAGCGTCAGGATAGGAGCCCAGAAAGCAGTGGCTTACCCAAGAAGGTTTCACAATGAAGTGAGAGTGTCATGAATCCCCGGCCCACCTCCCCTTTGCTTAGCTCTGGGCAGAAGTTCCTGAGCTTCATCTTTAGCAGGGTTTCTTATCTACAGATAGAATTTCAGGGGGCCTGGGAACTTCGGTGGGGAAAAAATTGCATCTTTATTTTCACTTACCTATAACCGAAACTTAACGTTTAGTAATATTAGAAATTCAGGCAGCCAATCACAGTGGTATTAACCATACCTGTGACTTTGCTGCAAGTAGCCGCCCTCCACATATATCATATGAGTGTTTTTTCATGTCTAAAAATATCATTTCTGCTCTTTACTGTTCATAAATTAAAGCTGCTGTTAAGCCCTTTGCTAGTTATTTAATGAATTAGAAAGGCACATACATTACTATGTTGCAAAGTTGTTTTTAAAATATTTTGATAACTGTATTTTAATGTAATTGGCTTCCTTTATAACCCAGCATATTAAAAACATTCTTTTGAGGAGGGCTCCACACCTTCTACAGACTGAGAAAGGAGTCCAAGGTCCACACAAAAAGTGTATGAATCCTTCTGAGGGAAGGAAAGGACCTCTTCAAACCCATGTTCTTCCAGCAGGTCCAGGATGCTGTCCATGCTACATTTCAAAGGACTATTTGCAAACTTGTGAACACGCTGTTCCCTTTACTTGGTAACTTGGGCTTCCTGAGCCAAAATGGTTACTTTTCTTGGAGGGCTCACAATGCAATAATTGAAAAATTGCTGGAAAAAGCTTCTGTTGGTGTGTAAAATACAACCCATTTGTAATTTTTAAAAACCTTGCTGTGTCAAATTAGAGGCCATCCTATTGAGATCCTCTGAACCTCAGGCTTGTAGCTTTTGGAAAACTATAGAGAAGCGTTTTATTGATTTTGATAATAAGCACCCATCTCATTCAACTTTCCGTTCCTATAGCTCCATTTGCTCTGTGAAAGTTTTCAAAAACATTTTGCTGAAGGTGAGATGATGAAATCTAAGTCTTGGACTCGATGGATCTTTCCTTATAAATGATCCACACCATCTTTTACCGCTCCCTCCTCCACTCCCATCCCCACTTTCCTCCTTCTCCATGTGCCCCTCACTTCCCCTCTGCCCCCCTCTCCCCTTCTCCCCCAGAATGCCTCTGACCTGTACCGGCTGGGGGTAACCTCTGCTCATGGGTAGTTTTGTCTCTGCTGGGTCCATACACAATCGAGGCTTGTGAAAAGGAGAGTGAGTCTGCAGGAGGCCGGGACAAGCTGGGCTATTCTCGATCTGTGTCCATTAAAACCTTCTTACTCTCCTTAACTCATTCCCGCTCCATTCAAGCCAACCAGAGGGTCAGGCTTTAGCCGGCACTAAAACCTGTAGGGTACAGATTCGCTGACATTGTTGGGAAAGAATTAAGGCATCAGCCAGGGACGGCTAATATTTCTTGCCTCATTTTATTGCTGAACAGCGGGACTGTAAAGTCTTGAACACTGGAGCACTATGGCCCCCTTTCATGTAGCCGAGATGATGGGATAAAAATGTGTTTGGTGAAGCAATTCAGATTACCACCGGGTCACATCCTCGCTGGCTCCCAGCATGGTCTGCAAACAGCATTGCTAAGACAAGAAACAATTGCTGTGCAATTTTAGCTCATGCAGAACAGTGTTTCTAGCGTGGAAATGAGGCTAATTGTGGAGCTTGCCAATGAGAATGTTTTGTTTTTAATAGCTCAGGCTACAGCTCAAAATAAAAGTTGAGATTGCAGACTGTGGATTCAAGTCCCGAGAGCTGTGATTTCTGACAGCTTTCTACTAAAATTATCCTATTTCTGGGAGTATCAGGCACTAGTCTCACCAAGGGCGATGAGGTCTTGAACTTACCATTTGGGGTGGAGGGTGCTCTCTTTAGGGAGGTGAGAGGTTTTGAGGGCCTTCAGCCTTCCAGGCCTCTCTGCTGCACACTCTGGAGTAGCAGGAGTTCCTGAAGCTCAGAAAACCCCAAGGAAGGAATGAAGAGGCTCAAGAGTTACGAAGCTGTATGCGTGAGTAAAGGAGAAAGAAAACCTTGGACAGTTCTGAAAAGCACGCTCATTTGGTTTCATCCGGAACCTCTCCTCAAGTAATACTACATGAAATATTCCCGAGCAATTGCTTCATGATATTTTCCATCTAATTCGTGGGAGAGTCAGTTTGCAGCTCTAACTAGCTCTGTCGCCCTGGGCCAGCCTCTTTGGACTTCCAGTATCCTCCCTTTAAATGAGAAGGCTGACTCCTAGGCTCTGTTTCAGTTTCCGCACTCTACCTCTGGATCTGTGGCCTCATGTCATCCTGTTCTTAAGGTGACAGAGTCCACATGACCCTATGGCGTCAATTGGGACTAGGCTTGTGTCCCACTTTTCACCACTACCTAGCTGTATGGGCCCCAAACAAGTTACTTGACTTCTCTGGACCTCGTTCTTTTCAACTCTAAAATGGGAACAAGAGCAGGATATTATGAGATCATTGGTAAGGTTTTAACATGAGATGGTACTAAATAGCATGGCTCCTTGTTCCTGTTCTTTTCATTTCTCTTGTGTTCAAAAGAAGTTTTAGCCTATTTAAAGTGGAGCCAGATTACGGAAGATTTGATGAGAGGTTCAGCCTGGCCGTTCCTTTCTCTGTAGAAGAAATGCATTTGTTAGCACACAGTGCCAAGAACTCAAGAGAACAAGAAAAGAAAAGAGAATGTTTCCTTGATTAGGAAATCATAGACTTCTACTAATGAGCCTTTATTATCAGTATCTGTAGGTCCCTGTCCAAAGATTGGGAGGATAATTCAAAGCTCTTCGTCTAGGTTTCCAAAGCTCTTGGCCCTTAGGACAAAAGAAATGCCAGCGAGTCCCTGTTCCCATTCGGGGCATGAGCTGTGAAAAAGCGGCTGGAGGGTTTGCTGGGTGCTAGAGACAAGAATCCCAGGGCCTCCCCAGGCCTCCAGGCCCAAGTGTAATAAATCTGTGCAATAACAAGCACAAAGGACTTTATAATCAATGACAGATTTTATTTTTGGTCTGGCAAAATCCATCCGCGGAGTTACCATTTTATGGGGAAATAACTACCCACTTTGTGACTCCTCCTCAGCCCCATATTCTCTTTCTTAAAGTTGAGAAAAACTCTGAGAATCAAAGTCAGCTCCCCCGAGAACTGTGGCAGGAGAAAACATGACTTCCCCGGGCGGGAACCCAACTTTCCCGTTACTTCCTAAGGTGGCTTGGGCCATTCATTTCTGTTTTGCTAAAATACCCGTGACATGTGAATAAACCAGGATTACAGAACATTGTCTCGGTCAGTAATCTGAGCCGGCATGGGCTCTGGTTTGATGAAATATAGTGCTCTCCGAGCAAACATGGGAATTGGTATTACTTCTCGTTAAAGCTGAACAGTGGGACTATTTAGAACTAACGCCTGAATGCTGCACTGTGGGGAGTGACAATTTGCAGGGAGCTGATTTGGGGGAGGGGGGCAGTGGTGTGTGTGAGTTGGCCAGTGCACACCAGTTAGGAGACATCTGCGGGGGAGGCAGCCAAAGGGACACATTAGAGATTAGGACCCCTTAGGGGCTGCCCAGACTCCTTACAACCCCCGAATAATCTTCCTCCGAACCTTTGCAGGAGGGAAAAAGCCTTACATCTTTGTCTTGGCATTCAAGCCCTTATCATCTGGTCTGTGTCTCAGTCTGTCTCTGTCTCTGGAGAGCCTCTCTCCGTCTCTTCCTGCCAGTCCTCTCAGTACACTTCCCAGCCCCCTCCCACAGTGCTTTGCTACAGACACTCTGTGATGCACCACCCAGGACCCGGGCGCTCATTCTCCAGCTGCCAGGACGGTTGTCTGTGGATGGCTCACAGTTGCCATCCAGGAATTGCCTCAAAGGGGACCCAAAGCTGTCCTCTTTCCCGGGA